CCATTCATTGTAATTAATTTTAATTGACTGAAGTATGCAGATTGCATTATTGTAATTACAAATAGGTACAAACACTTAATCAACTGCCATTTAAAGAAGCAAATTAATTTTGTTTAGTTTTCAAAACTTTGCCTGAAAATTAAAAAGCTGAAGACATTTACAAACTATAGATGTACCAAAGAGCACATGCACAAGTAACCTACTACCAAAATATTCATCTTATTCAAACCATTGTCAACTTTACAACTACATGTTTAAGGGGTTAATTCAGACTAAATTTGAATCTTTTGGATTTCGTAAATTTTTGGTAAGGTTTTAATAAATTAAAATATTTAAAATTGCTTGTGCTGGATTTGGTTGATTAACTGTTTTTACCTACTGTTATTACAAGGATGTAAGTTTAGTATATGTACTTGTATTAGTTAGAATTACTTACTGTATATAGTTTTTGCTAATGTTATGTGAAGTCATGTAGCCCAAAATTTGGTGAAATGACCAAGGAGGGCACATCCCTTCAGAGCTGGATTTTATTTCAAACACTGCTGGAATGTAGTTGAAACTTTATTCATTAGGACTGTTGATAGCACTTTTTGGACTATTTGGAAATTCATTAGAACTGTTGATAGCACTTTTTGGACTATTTGGGATTTAATTCATATTACTGTAAGTTCTTTTTAAATGTTCACTTTGTATTCTAGGAACATAAACTGTTTTTTTTTTCATAACTTGTTGGTTTTTGCTCTTTTCTTTAAATTAGTTTAAGACCATAGAGTCATAATACAAATGCAGTAAAAAGTGTGTACCAAGTATGTTAGATGATACATCAGAAATGAATATACCATTGATGCCAATTGGCTAAACTTATGTATCAAGAATTTCAGACTACATCAGAAAAGTATGTTCCAATGATGCCATGCAGTAGACATTATGTTCCAAGTACATGTATGTCAGACGATACATCAGAAAAGGATGTACCAGAGATGCCATATGGCTAAAATTATGTATCAAGAATTTCAGACTACATCAGAAAAGTATGTACCAATGTTGTCATCAACATAAAAAGTATGCACCAAGTTTGCCAGTGTCTATATCAGAAAATTATATTCCAAGTTCCTCAGTCATTGTTTACAACAGCAAAATATGTACCAACAATCTACAAAAGATATATATATATATATATATATATATATATATATATATATATATATATATATATATATATATATATATATATATATATATAGATATATATATATATATATATAGATATATATATATATATATATATAAATAAAAGGTGTCATACAAAATCATCATCTGAAGAATATTGTCTTGCTGTGTCTATTTCATACATGCAGAGCAAGGAGTTAAAAATACCTGTATATACAAAGAGCAAGCAGTGAAAAATACATGTACCAGTATATGAAAAAAGCAAGCTGTGAAAAATACATGCAAATGAAAGCAAGCAGTGAAAAAAACCTGTATGTAAGGATGAAGCAGTAATATATATATATATATATATATATATATATATATATATATATATATATATATAGATAGATAGATAGATAGATAGATAGATAGATAGATAGATAGATAGATAGATAGATAGATAGCAAGTAGTAAGCAGTGAAAAAATACATGTATATAAAAAAGAGAAAATAGTGAAAAATACCTGCAGTGAGAAACACCTGTATATATAAGGATCAGAAAGTGAAAAGTACCTTTTTTAAAAATGTAAATACTAAATCTGTTAATGGGTTTTCCTTTAAGAACTGTTTTCCTGCAGTATTTTCTGGTGTAGCGTACTGGCCTTAAGATTGGGATCAAGCATTATATACATATGAAAACTACAAGAGAACAGTTCCCAGGTAGGGAAGGTAGTAAAAATAATGTTAAAAAGCAGAAACAAGTTAAATTACTTCATTATGCCATTAAATACATCTGTGAGACTAGTATATATTATATATAATCTCTTATAATTGAAGTCTTAACTGCAAACTGTGCAGACCTAGATAAGCCATTGCATAATGCACGGGCATATCTGAGGCTGTGCAGTTTGTTAGAAGCAATCAGTACAACAAACAGCATAGACCCTGATCTGTGTGTGCATTATGCTATGGCAGATCAGGATCTTTGTTGTTTGCAGTTTGACTCAACTTATAAGTGAATATATATGATAACAAGTTTTCTACACTATTGAAACAAATGGTTGACAGGTGTTTAATGGATTATCAAGACATACACATCAAGACTTTAAAGGTTATATCATGCTAATTGACTGAAGTGCCTTTCCCAAAGACATACCAAGGTGGCTACCCCATCCTGGTCTTGTCATCATTGATAAAAGCACCCTTCTGGTGACAGGTTTTGCATTCTTTGCAATAAAACACAAAATAATAGCAGCTGTAGGAAACATGGAAGAAACATTTATCCGCAACATCATCTCTGAGAAGTGACTACTGAAACTCTTCAGATTGTTATAGTTATAGAATTATTACTATTGATAAAGGATGTAATTATTACTCAAAACCAGGTTCCAACAGTTATCATTTCTTATTTTTATTATTTCAGTCGA